TTGTCTAATAGCAATATTTTATTGCGCTTAAATCTTGAAACAATGTATATTTGCTACTCGATTAATGGCAATGTTCTTCTTGTCTATCTATAAGAGATGTTTCTATTTGTTATTGTGATTGTCCGTGTATGCAAAATGTTGTATGAGAGTGAAGAGAATGGTTAAAAAACTTCATTTCATGCCAGCATTACATTTGCATAATTACAACATCTGAACCTATTACATAAACATCTGCAAATTACAACATCGACAGAATTACATAATAACCTAACTACACTACATCATCTTGAAAACTAGCACCAACACAAAGACAACCCAAGAAAACACAATAAACAACTTTGTATTTTGTAGTTTATCCTCCATCCTAGCGACCTTCTCTAATTTTGCTGAATTAATTCCCTCCACCTCTTCCATTATTTTCTCCATTTTCAGTCTTTCAGCGGAAATAACATCTTCCAAGTTAGCCACCGTCTTCTTCAGATAATTTCTTTCAACTTCCACTGACTTCAGTGAAGTATTCAAGTTATGAATTAACATCGTCGCATGTGGTGGCATCTCTTCATCCCGCCAAACTACGTGAAGCTTCCTCGTCAAAACGAGGGCATTTGTAGAATTGACGACCATCGTTCAAATGAGTCATAGCCACAGAATGATTTGCAATTAAACCAAAACCACAACAATGCGACGAACTAGAAGAGACAGAATTTTCAAACATTTGAATTTTTTGTTATTCAATAAAGGCGGAACTTTTATAGCCAACCACAAGATTCGAAGGAAAAAGAAAAGATTTAATTAATTGTAAAAGAGAAATTTTGGGGAAGAAGAATCGGGTAAGCAACCTGATGACCTAGGTTCTAAATTGGGGAAGAAGACGAGTAAAATATGTGGGTATAGGGTTAAAAGAGTGGGTATAAGATAAAAGGAATAGGTCGGATCGGTTTAATACGTCGAAAAATACCCAAATACAATGTCTGCCCCACTGAGCCACGTGGACAAATGAAAGAACGCCACATCATTTAATGAGATGTCCACAAGGAGTTCCGTTAGTCACGGGGGTAAATTTAAAAATAGCAATAACGTCCCGTATATTTTCAGACGGATAGATAGACGAGAGCTTTTATAAACCATTTATCATACGACACGGGTACTTTAAACCCTTTTCCGTTCTTAATTTAACATGAAAAATACTGTCTTACGTTCAAATTGTATCAAAATGGGATGAATAAAACTATTTTGAACAACTAAAAATAATAAACAACTGAATTATTATTGACGGAGCCTGCACGCTTTCAATTTCTTTTGAAATTGAAACCTTTGGTCAAGGTTTCTTTTATTATCAATAGACTATGGAAATAAGTATGGTTAAATTTCGATTACTTTTGAAATTATGGCTATTTTTGAACGATCACTTATAAATCTGGCTATTTTTGAATTTCTCCCGATCAATCGACTATCGAAACAAGTTCTGTATTGATTTGATGAATGTGAAAATCTTTTGGGAAGCACATATACTTGAATATTGCTACAATTATTCATCTAACTATGAAACTTTAGTTATGTTAGTAGTATACTTTTATAGCTACTGCAAGTGCATGATAAAGTTTGTACTTTGCTACGAAATTTTTTGTCTCTAAATTGGTAGCTCTATCATTTTGAAGTAAGACCATTCTTTTAGCTACAAAATTATGTTCAAACTATCATGGCTAAAAAATTACAACTACTACAGTGATTTTAAATTCATAGTAAAGCTTAGAATTAGCTACACCACTTATTGTAGCTATTTAAATTCGTGGCTATATCATTTTGTCATGATAATTAGTTGTAGCTATTGAGCTAACTATTGCTGCGGATTTTATAAATTGAAGCAAAGATGTTCATTTAGCTACAAGATTTTGATTGACATAAATTATTGTGGCAAAAAATTCTTTGTTGCTTTAACAACTTCAAACACGTGGCAAAAACTAATAATCCGCTACAAATCTTTAGAGTAACAATAAATTTGTAGTTATTTTGACAGCTATTGCCACGATAGTTAGAAACTATAGGAAAAAATGAGAAATTAACTTTGTCAGTTTAATTTGTTTAGCTAAGAAATTTTACGAAATTCTGAATAGCTACCAAATTGTAATTTTTGTGGCTAATATTCGGTAATAGCCACGTTTTTCAAATTTGTAGCTAAGAATCTATAGTTATAGATGCATAATGTTGTAGTGTAATATCCGAGAAATCATATCGTCGTAGTTAATCCACTTAAATGTCGCAAAATGTCACGTCATTAATATTTTCTAGAATATTTTAATGGTTGGAATTTCGATTCTGATTATCTTAGATGTCCTGCGGAAGTATAGCATTTCACATTATCTTAGGTGTTAGTTTTACTCTTTATGTAATTGAAAGTTAGTGTTGCTTATTCTCACACCTGAATACTAGAATAGAAAGATAATGATTTAAAAAAGAATGATGCTGATCATAATGTATCTTGAAAACTTAAAATTAAAACATTTTTGCGTATTGTGCATGTATGGTTTAAAGGATAAGACAACTATCATGATTTAAACTATATGATTATCCACACATGACATTCTAACTCTAGTAGCAAAGAGTTCAAATACACTTTGAACATATTCCAAAATCTCTTTTGTAAGTGTCATTAATAGGCCTAAACTTCTAGATGTTTTACGTATTGTTTTCATTTTAAATGTGGATTTAAATTTTTTGACTTGTCATCTTTAATTCGAGCTTCGACGAAATATTCCCTTTTGTCTAAAGTACATGTACCAATTGTAATACTCAACTGCCACGTCCCTTTCAATTGACAGTTGAAGTCTTTTATCACTAAAACACCTTTCCTTATAATGTATGATTACCCAATTATTTTACGAACTCACACCTTATTTATATGATATTGGATATAGTGATAATATTACAAAATAACCAAAGTAAGCTACAAATATTAAAATAAACAATAAAATGTCCATGAGGCGCACATATTATGAAAACTTTTAAATTTTATTTATTGATGATATAAAATAATTTAGACACTCAATATATTTTGATATATTGATTAGTTGTATATACATACAATATAAAAGAAATATTACGCTATAACATCACTCTAAAAAATAATTACTGTCTGTAATAGGTGCAATAAGGCTGTTAACTTACTATAACACGAATTAAAACATATTAATATTGTAAAAAATTTGTACTCTTTCAATGTATATATAGTTAAATCCTATTTTAATGTTGATTATTACTTGAACCAAATCACATGACAAATAGACACGAAGAACACTTCAACCGAAGGGTTCTCCGCCAACCCCACAAAGAAAAGGACAAAAGGCATTAGAAAAAAGAAAGAATAAAAATAACAAGAAGCTTTCCACTACTTTAAAACTACTTATTTTATCCAGAATTTAGCAAACAATCCCACGGGTTTTCTCTAGTGCAGCCCCACACGCATTTATACCGAACATATTTAAATTATATATATACTATAAAGTGTAAATTTTTCATTTTGTGATAGTATATTACTTCCTCCGTTTCAATTTATTTGAACATGTTTGACTGGGCACGGAGTTTAAGAAAAAAAAATGAAGCTTTTTGGAATTTGTAGTCCTAAACAAGTTAAAAAGGCCCCAGAGTATTTGTGTGTTTATAAAAGCTTCTCATTAAGGATAGAAGTGTAAGTTTAAGCTAAATTGTTTCCAAATTTAGAAAGGGGTCATTCTTTTTGGAACAGACCAAAAAGGAAATAGGTTCACATAAACTGGAATGAAGGGAGTAATTACTACTCCCTCCGTTTCATATTAAATGAGGTACTTTCTTTTTTAGTTTGTTCCAAAATAAATGACACATTTCTAAATTTGGAAATAATTCAACTTTAAACTCCTCATTTTACCCATTTTACCCTTTATGAGAAGCTTTTATAACCACACAAAAGTCATGGCCACACAAAGCTTTACCCCTTAAGCTTTTAAGACCACAAATTTCAAAAGTCTTTTTTTTTTTCCTTAAACTCCGTGCCGAGTCAAACTAGCTCATTTAATTTGAAACGGAGGGAGTACTAATTTTATCATATTACCAATTCACATTAACCCGTAATTACCTAATAAGTTCTCATATAACCCGTTTGAAAAAGAATGAACCTTTTACTATTTGGGGTGTTAAACAAACTTTTCTTTGACCATATTTTTTACTAATAGTTTTTAAATATTTTAAATTTTTAGCTATTGTAACTTATAATACTTTTTATATAATTTCTGACTATGTAAATTTAATTTCAAAAAACTTAAAGAATCTATGTCCGAATTCATACCGAAAATTTAGTCAGGTTGATCCTCGTACTGCAAAAAGGTTCAAACAAATTTAAGTGAAAGGAGTAATATATAGTACTCCCTCTGTTCCAATTTATGTGAACCTATTTGACTGGGCACGAAGTTTAAGAAAAAATGAAGATTTTTGGAATTTGTAGTCCTAAACAACTCAAAAGGGGGTCCACAGTATTTGTGTGGTTATAAAAGCTTTTCACTAAGGGGGTAGAATTGGAATTTAAGCTAAATTGTTTCCAAATTTAGAAAGGGTTCATTCTTTTTGGAACGGACCAAAAAGGAAATAGGTTCACACAAACTGAAACGAAGGGAGTAAAATTTAAGAGTTTAATCCGTTAGTATAAACAATTTTTTACACAGTTTAGTCACATTTACCTGTGGTAGTAAGTAACCTTTTTATTTTCTAAATTATAAATTTCATATTTTAATTAAGCAAGCCTACCCGTAAGTATTCTTGAGGTGACTAGAACTTAAATTCAAAATTTAAACTCACAGCAAAATCCCTCGTAAATTATATACCTTAATTAGCTTCTCCTTATTCCTCCCCTTTACCCTTTTTCAACGGCGTGTATATCGTCAAACCCTTTGACTCAACAGTCTCAAACGTGCGAATTCCATATTATAAAAATCTTATACTGTATACTTTTCTTCTCTAGTCCGTGTGCCTTTTCTCTCACATATATAAACACCCATTCACACACACACATTCTCAAGAAACCCAACATCAATAACATTTTTACATACCCTAAACAAGATTTTCTTGTTTCAAACTAAGTAGTTTTTTTATTACAATTTTCTATGGGAAACTTTACTTCATGCACTGTTATACCAACAATAAGGAATTCAAAAGCAGCCAGAGTTATTCTACCAGGAGGAGAAATCAGACAATTTCGTGAACCAATAAAAGCAGCAGAACTCATGTTAGAGAATCCAAACAATTTTTTAGTGAATTCAAGTTCGTTAAATATTGGTCGTAGATTTTCAGCTTTATCTGCCGATGAAGATTTGGAGTTTGGAAATGTTTATATTATGTTTCCAATGAAGAGAGTGAATTCAGTTGTGACTGCTTCTGATATGACTGTGCTTTTATTGGCTGCTAATTCTGCTGCTAAGAGAATTTCTGGTGGAAATGTTAAGATTACGCCGGAAGTGTCAGCGCCGGCGCCGGAGTCAACGCCGGAGATCAACGCCGGTGGACGGAATTCGGATGGGGTTGAAGGGTTTCCAGTGGAGCATGAGTTGAAGTATAGGTTGTCATGTAGATCAAGGAAACCTTCGTTGGAGACTATTTTGGAAGAACCAGTTTGTTCTAGATGAAAATTCTAATAAATTGTTTTGGACTCAGATTTTTGGTGAATATTTATTTTAACAAGAAAAGAGATTTAGTTAGAGATTTAATGTGAAAAGAAAGAGATTTATATATTATATGTATGCACTAAATACTGTGGCAAGTTCAGAACTTTTAAGAATAGATATCCAAGACGTGTAATATGGACGACAATTTTAATGTCTATATTCGCCTTAATGTATGATATTTATATGTGCATGAATATTTATTAATGTGTGGTAGGGTTCAAATCTTATTGTATGCTGCCATGCTGGTTATGTATGTGTTTATTGTGTAAGCTGGGATAAACATTAATGGCAAAATGCTTATGCTAAGTACAAACTTTTAGAAGAAAATGCTACATCTAGAGGCCATAACGACTGCAAAATAAACTTGCAGGGCCATACTTTAAGCAATTAAAAACACCTTTTTGGGAAAACTATGCCGAATAGTCTCTCTCTCTCTATATATATGATACATAAGCAAAAATAATTCTAGAATAAAAATTTAGTACTGCCTTATCCCTTGTTTGGTTACTTATATTGGGATATATACCAGGATTAAAAATAGTACGTACGGAGATAACTTATACCTGCTAGAGGATGAAAAAGTAATCATATGATCAGTAAAATTAACAATCTCAGTATTAATACAACATACCAAACATTGAATAAGAAATAATACTAGAATAACTAATCCTAGTATAACTAATCTCAGCAAGACTAATTCTAGCATAACTTGTGTTCACACAAAAGATCCCTAGTGTGTATATTTGGCTAAGTGATGTAATTATCTTGTGTCATCAAAAGTTTGGCCCTTTACCTTATAAGCTCCAAAAACTCAATCCAAAATAGGCAAATGAGACCTTTTATAATTTATCAAAATAAAAAGAAATACTATTATTTGATTTCTAATGGCGATTTTCATCAAGAAAAATACATTACAATTCTAAAAGGGGAAAAGATCCCTCGAATAGATCAATATCTTTTCAAAGACTGATCATAGCATGATAGGGGTTGGTTGAGAACATTCCGCCAATTTTTAGCGACTTTTACGCCGATTCACCGCCTACTTACATAAGGATTCAAGGAAGAGGAAACGAGAAGGTAAAAAACTGAATCTACACCTACTTTGAGACCTGATATACTATTTTTCCAGAAGCAGTAGACTGACTATTCAATATGAGTTGACCAGGCCTGTACGTAATTAGGAGAACACTTCCTTTGACCTTAAGATTCTGAATACTTTGATAGCGATGGAATGCTCGATTTATGGTAAACCATGCAAGCTAATTTTAGGGTCCCTTTTTTGCAGTTTCATCACTCGTTCTTCAATTATTAGACTGCAACGAAAAATCTGTTTTGGTCATGGGATAATTTGTTTAATTAAGGAATTCTAATTTGATTATGGATATGTAAAAACTTGACTAATTTTTCCTTTCTAGAATTGTGCAAATGAGGGGCGGAGGCAGAAGTCGAGCTACGGGTTGGCCAGAGCCAATAGCTTTTGCTCAGCATATTTTCTTTTTGGTTTTCCACTCGGTGTGCGTTATTTGTATTGGTCAGCATAATTGTATTAAGAGATTTAATATATATGTAAAAATTATTAAATTTAGAACCCAATTATTAGCACTTGAAGTTGTCATTTTAAAATTTGAAACCCACAAAATTAAAATCCTGGCTCCTCCTCTATTTATAAATTAAAATTGACTAAAATTCAAGTTAGATATATTAACAGGATAACGTCTTGAATTACTGTTTCACTGTCTATAGGTTTATTCTCTCCCGCTTTATGTCAGTTATTTAAACGATCTTCTTAATTTTCGTTTTCTTTCTTTTCCAGAATGGGCACGTGACCAGTAGGGAACAGAAAAGAAGATGTATAAACCTTTTTTTTAGATATGAATATTGTTTTTTCTTTTATTTTATGTATGGTACATTAGATATGAACGTTTTCACCAAAATTTGTAGGTCAATTAGAATTGCGACCATTAAGCTCATTTAAGTCTTAGTTCCCTTATTGATAAACACTAATGAATCTTTCATTGATTAGACTATGATTAAAATCAAATTTGTTAGTTGCGTGAAATATAAAAAATGTCATGACTTAATTTACGGAAATTGTGTCTCACCTTTTTAAACTTTAGATGAGGATAAGATGTTAGATTCTATTTTCGGACTTTGGGCTTTGGCAAAAGTATAACAGACCAACAACCCAACAAAATGATAAAAGAAGAATTGGGGAAAAGCATGTTATAGATGATATAGTTTGTTACGTAGTATATATTTTCCTCAAAATATTAATAGTTTGTTATATAACACGGCCTTGTTTTGTCGTTTTTCTTAATAATCTCTTGTATTGGGTTTTCTTCCTGTAGATCGAAATCAATGCCAAAAAAAAAAGAAAAGAAAGAAAAAGAGGACAAATAACACATTCTTCCAGTCAAGAAAAAGAAAAAGTACTAGGAGTTCGTCTACTCTGTTAATGGTGCTGTTCATCCGTACCAGGGTTCAATTCTTGTAAAATATAAGAGTGTGATATTCCAAAAAAAAAATAAGTTTTATGCGAAAAGACTAAAAAATAAATTTGAAAAGGAAAATAATCTACAATTTTATAAAAATTATGTAAGTACAAAATAAACATGAAAATATTACCCTAATGATGCTAACGGAACATTATAGAGGCGGAATCGAGATTTGATGACCTACGAGTGCCAATATCATTAATGTAGACCTACCATTAGTAAAGGAGGTTGAATTATAGTATACATTTAGTTGGTTCGACCCATTTGACTTAATTCGGTTCAGTTTGATCCTTTTTGAAATAATTCAATTCGAGTTATAAGGCTTTTTGTGCATAAATAAATATATTACACCCCTTTAATCAATATGTAGCTATTAACGTTTTGTCTATTGATGCCATCATGCCCAAAAAATATATATTTTGAATTCTAATATTAGATTCATCAAAAAGAAAAATGATATACATCACATCCAAATAAATTTGAAAATCTTCGATAAATAGTAAAAATGATGTTGTACAAAGAGAGGAAATACATAGATGAAGAAATAAAGGATTAAGAAGAGTTATAACAAGGATCTAGATAGTGAATGTCAAAAAGATGAGAGAGACGGTCCTCCTTCTCTCTACACAAACCTATCATCTTCTACACTAAAATATCCCTTACCATGGACCAAACAACCACCAACTCAACCACCAATTCTCCGCCTGAACCACCAGATTTGACCACAATGCACATTGATTCTCCGCCATCAAACACTCAAGATATAAAACCATCCTTCAAGACTACCCTTCTCAATCATAATCAACTACTTCATCTACCCAGTACTAGCCACACCACACCATCACCTATTGACTTATCAGATGAAACAACAAATGACCAAGAACTTGAATCTTTTATACCTCTAACATCCAATGACAAATCTCGTCTCTACTCCCCTTGGAAATCATCAGTAATAGTAAAAGGTTTTGGACACAAAGTTGGCCACCAAATACTAAAAACAAAACTTCAATCCTTATGGCAACCCACTAAAGAGATGCCACTAATAGATCTAGGATGTGATTTCTTCCTAATCAAATTCCAGAAGGAAAAAAACATGAACAAAGCTCTACATAGAGGACCCTGGTTCATCTTTAACCATTTTCTATCGGTACGTAAATAGGAACCAAAGTTCATAGCTTCCAATGCACGACTTACCTACTCAGCCATATGGATACGTCTACCAGAGATGCCTACTGAATTTTAAGACCTTGAGATCTTACATAAGGTTGGCTCCAAACTTGGGACGCTACTTAAAATAGATACGTGCACTTCCACAACCACTAGAGGTAGATATGCACGTATATGTATTAAAGTCCCCCTAGAATGTCCAGTAAAAACTCACATATTCATTGGCAATCATCGTCAACAAATACTTTATGAAGGTCTCACTATGTTATGCACACTATGTGGACGTTTAGGTGACAACAAAAATCTATGCACCCAAACACACTATCCTACAACCTCCACTACCACCTCACTCATTTCCATAACTACTCCAAAAGCCACAATGTCCACACCAAACATCAATGCAATTGCTACACAAACCCCGTCAGCATCACCTCCATCTACTGCCAACGAATGGAAACTAGTCACTTTCTCCACAAGATCAAAAAACAAAAGCCCATCACGCGGGAAAGTAACTCTATCACCACACTCAAATCAATCACTAGAACTTAGCCACCCCCCTCGCAATGTCAAGACGGCTGGGCCACTAGAGATTGACCACATGGGCCCTACAGGTAAGTTCTCTAACGAATTACTCCCAATCCCTAATCCCTCTACTAAAGGAAAAGACATGCATTACTATGGCATGAAGAACTGCTTCAGCTTGATCAAATAGAGGTGACCCCAGAAGCCATACACTCTATTGTTCAGGTACCTCTTAACCCTAATACTTGGTTATTTTCAGTTATATATGCAAAAATGACTTGCATGCACGTACTTCATTATGGGCTCATTTAATGACCTTGCATGATAATATCCATATGCCTTGGTTAATCGGGGGTGATTTTAATGAAATAACTCGTGCAAATAAAAAATATGGGGGGGGGGGGGGTAACCCTATAAATAACTCAAGATGTGACCAATTCATTAAATGTCTTGACTATTGTAATTTATTAGACTTAGGCTTTAGAGGGAGTAGATATACATGGACAAACAAACGCTGCCTAGCTAATAGAATTTTGGAACGATTAGACAGATTTGTTTGTAATTATGAATGGCTTAACCTCTTTCCTGAAGCCAATGTACAACATCTTCCATGAACCCATTCGGATCACTGTCCGTTACTCCTTCAATTGAAACTAAAATTTCCACGTAAAAAAATCTTTCAATTTGAAACCATTTGGTCATCCCACCCGTCCTTCCCTTCTCTTATTACCAATCACTGGACACCTAATAAACATTTGTTAAAAGCAATTACGAATTTCACTGAAGATGTCCAAAATTGGAATCAACACACCTTTGGAAACATTTTTAAAAAATAGAAAAACATATTGGCTCGTCTTAATAGTCTTCAGGCATCGCCTAGTTACCCCACTAGTCATTTCCTTCAAATATTAGAAAAGGACCTCATAGATGAATTTAATCAACTCCTTAGAATGGAAGAGGACTTTTGGCGATTAAAATCAAGAATCAATTGGCTTCAACAAGGGGATGCCAATAATAAGTTATTCCATCTCACAACCC